GGGGGATGGAAACAAGCCGCTCCCCCTCCCTCACATCCCGTGTTTTCGGACGGGATATTCATTTCCGATATTAATGGCGCCCGGCGAGACTCTTGATATAGTAGCGTAAAGCGTACACACAACGCCGGCTATTAATGATGATGCTCCTGCGGCGAGGAGACATATTTCACGCTTCATACTTAATGTCAGCGGATGCGCCAGTTCTGTACGCCGCCGAGAGGAACCGCACTTGGAGTTTGTTTTATATTGCTGAAATATGAATCATCTGGGGGGGGTGGAGTCTAAACACGGGGCGCGGCGGGGGACACCTGCCACTATTAATGAAAGGCCACTTTCCACGAAACAGCTACACATGCACGCACACACACATACGCACACACACGTACGCATACGCACACACTGACGGAACACCAAAGGCCCAATTCACACCGAGTAACGGTCGCTATTTTTTTTTTTTTAAGTGACAGTTATTTTCAGCAGCGTCCAATGAGATCTAAAGTGACAGTCACAGGAAAATACGTGCGTACCTCGGGTTACCAACGCCTCGGTTAACGTCATTTTCTGTTTACAAATGAAAATCCATTGAAAATAAGGCCTCGGTTTACGATTTTTTTCGCAATACGAAGCGTTTATAAAGTACATTTTATTAAGAGCTTTCAACAGATAATCCTTTATTTACTTTTTTTTTTTAATTTTCTGATCTCTGGAACAAATTAATTGGTTTTCAATGCATTTTCGAAATTCATTTTTAAGCATGTCCCTGTACAGTATTTATGCCTTTAACCACTTCCAGACCGGACACTTTCCCCCCCCTTCCAGTCCAGACACTTTCCCCCCCTTCCAGTCCGGACACTTTCCCCCCTTCCAGTCCGGACACTTTCCCCCCCTTCCAGTCCAGACACTTTCCCCCCCTTCCAGACCGGACACTTCCCCCCCTTCCAGACCGGACACTTTTCCCCCCTTCCAGTCCGGACACTTTCCCCCCCTTCCCATCCGGACACTTTCCCCCCCTTCCAGTCCGGACACTTTCCCCCCCTTCCAGACCGGACACTTTCCCCCCCCTTCCAGACCGGACACTTTCCCCCCCCTTCCAGACCGGACACTTTCCCCCCCCTTCCAGTCCGGACACTTTCCCCCCCCTTCCAGTCCGGACACTTTCCCCCCCTTCCAGTCCGGACACTTTCCCCCCCTTCCTGTCCGGACACTTTCCCCCCCTTCCTGTCCGGACACTTTCCCCCCTTTCCAGTCTGGACACTTTCCCCCCCTTCCAGTCCGGACACTTTCCCCCCCTTCCAGTCCGGACACTTTTCCTTTTCCCCCCTTCCAGTCCGGACACTTTCCCCCCCTTCCAGTCCGGACACTTTCCCCCCCTTCCAGTCTGGACACTTTTCCCCCCTTCCAGTCCGGACACTTTCCCCCCCTTCCAGACAGGACACTTTTCCCCCCTTCCAGTCCGGACACTTTTCCCCCCTTCCAGACCGGACACTTTCCCCCCCCTTCCTGTCCAGGGCAATTTTCAGCTTTCAGCGCTATCACACTTTGAATGACAATTGCGCGGTCATGCAACGCTGTGGCTGGGTCTTCCAACATGACAACGACCCGAAGCACACAGCCAGGAGAACCAAGGAGTGGCTCCGTAAGAAGCATATCGAGGTTCTGGAGTGGCCTAGCCAGTCTCCACACCTAAATCCAATAGAACATCTTTGGAGGGAGCTGAAACTCCGTGTTGTTCAGCGACAGCCCCGAAACCTGACAGATCTAGAGGAGATCGGTGTGGAGGAGTCGGCCAAAATCCCTGTTGCAGTGCAAACCTGGCCAAGGACTACAGGAACCGTCTGACCTCTAATTGCAGGCAAAGGCTTCTGTACCAAATATTAACACGGATCTTCTCAGGGGTTCAAATACTTCTGTTCAGCCGTGCGAGACAAATACATTCTTTACAAATCATACAATGTGATCTCCTGAATTCTGTCCTCAGAGTGGGAATCCCCTGCAATGTGATGGAGAAGTGGCAGAACCTGCAGAATCGCAGGGGGTTCAAATACTTCTGTTCCTCACTGTAACAAATCAGTGCAAAAACAAACCAAGATTCAAAACGCGAGTAACACGTGAATGGTGAGATCGCTCTGTGTACACTACAAATGAATATAAATAAATGTGACCGTGTACACTCAGAAACCAAAAATAAATACATAACTATAAATATTAAATAAAATAATAATAAAAATTAAATAAATCAAAATGGTATAAAGAGTTCTAAAGAGTTTTGAAGAGATAAAATACTTTTTTCTGACCTCCGTAACCTACTGTTACCGGCCATTAAAGTGTTCCTGAACCCACAACAGTACAATCAGTCTGTAGATGCAGTAAAGCACGCTTGTTATACTCTCTGTGGAACCTAAGGGGGTAATCCTCTGCATTGTGTAAAAAGGCTGTTTGACCCTGTCTTCTCTGATCCTCCCCTTCTTCTACTGTCCCCAGTCCATCTGACGATAGTGCAGAGCAGCAGTGGCAAGTCTGCACATGCTCAGTTTGGTGTGTATTGCTAGAGATTCTTTTTTTTGGGGAGGGTGCATGTGATCATCACAGGGCCAATGAGCACCATCCAGACAGAGGGTCAGGGGTCATGCCAAAAAAAAAGCAGACAGGGTACTGGACCTCCCTATTCTATTAAAAAACCTTCCTGTCTGGTCGAATAGTTGTCATTGTAACAGGAAGTGAGGGCAGCGTTAAAACGCGTTAAATTTCTGAAAAAAAAAAATCCTTCCCCACTTTAAAAAAAAAAAAAAAAAAAAAAAAAAAAAAAAAAACAAAAAAAAAATTTCCAAAAAAATAAAAAAAAAAAAAAAATTAAAAAAAAAAAAAAAAAAAAAAAAAAAAAAAAAATAAAAAAAAAAAAAAAAAAAAAAAAAAAAAAAAAAAAAAAAAAAAAAAATAAAAAATATTAAAATAATTCCAGCAACATAATAATAAATATATTAAAATAATTCCAGCAACATAATAATAATGATGATAATAATGATAATAATAAATAAAATAATACCAGCAACATAATAATAATAATAATAATAATAATAAATATATTAAAATAATACCAGCAACATAATATTAATAAATATATTAAAATAATACCAGCAACATAATAATAATATTGATGATAATAATGATAATAATAAATAAAATAATACCAGCAACATAATAATAATAATAATAAATATATTAAAATAATACCAGCAACATAATATTAATAAATATATTAAAATAATACCAGCAACATAATAATAATATTGATGATAATAATGATAATAATAAATAAAATAATACCAGCAACATAATAATAATATTGATGATAATAATGATAATAAATAAAATAATACCAGCAACATAATAATAATAATAATAATAAATATAATAAAATAATACCAGAAACATAATAATAATAATAATAATAATAATAATAATAAATATAATAAAATAATTCCAGCAACATAATAATAATAATGATGATAATAATGATAATAATAAATAAAATAATACCAGCAACATATTAATAATAATAATAATAATAAATATATTTAAAATAATACCAGCAACATAATATTAATAAATATATTAAAATAATACCAGCAACATAATAATAATAATGATGATAATAATAAAATAATACCAGCAACATAATAATAATTTTGATGATAATAATGATAATAAATAAAATAATACCAGCAACATAATAATAATAATATTGATGATAATAATGATAATAATAATAAAATAATACCAGCAACATAATAATAATGATAATAATAAATAAAATAATACCAGCAACATATTATAATAATAATAATAAATATAAAATAATACCAGCAACATATTATAATAATAGTATCGTTTGTCATTGTTTGGGCTCGGCGTACAATGGTGGCCCCTAGGAGGGTAATGGCTTTGTCTGTGACCAGAGTGGAGCCAGCGCCCAGCATGGGTCTTGTCAGCGGACATCCATGTTGTGGAAGTAGATCTTTTCCTCGCATTCTTTGTGTGACCTACACTGGCAGATAACACGGGAGAGGGTCGGTCATAAATCAGCCGGAGATCCCCCACCACACATGGACGGCAGGCAGATTGCCGGCCCAGGAATTCACATTCCCTGGCAGAGGCATCAAAGGGGGTCCAAGCATGCATCCCAACCCTCCCTGCACAATGGAGGCCATCCGCTGCGAGGGAGGAGGAGGGGAGGGTTTTATAGTTCGCTCTGGTGCCTTAGTAGCTGATTCTAATGGAATGGGTCCCCTTAGAGTGGCCCTACAGCTAAGACCCCCTAGGACACATCAAACAGAAGGCCCCTGGGCTGAATCCGGCCTGTCGGGCCTTGTCATGTGGCCCTTGCACCCAGTTTTGCAGCCGGAACATGGCGGAACTTCATTCTGCCACCTCCGGCTCTCGCTCCCTGCTGTCACTTATACACACAGAAATCTTCTGTTTATAAGGGACGGGTTTGCACTCAGCGACTCCCGGAGCTAACAGCAGGACATGGTAAGGACAGATCTCATAGCGCACCCCTAGACCCTGCACTCTGTACACAACGCACTCCTGAACCCTGCACCCTGTGCATAACGCACTCCTGAACCCTGCACTCTGTACATAACGCACTCCTGAACCCTGCACCCTGTGCATAACGCATTCCTGAACTCTGCACTCTGTACATAACGCATTCCTGAACCCTGCACTCTGTACATAACGCACTCCTGAACCCTGCACCCTGTGCATAACGCATTCCTGAACTCTGCACTCTGTACAAAACGCACTCCTGAACTCTGCACTCTGTACATAACGCACTCCTGAACCCTGCACCCTGTACATAACGCATTCCTGAACTCTGCACTCTGTGCATAACGCACTCCTGAACCCTGCACCCTGTACATAACGCATTCCTGAACTCTGCACTCTGTACATAACGCATTCCTGAACTCTGCACTCTGTACAAAACGCACTCCTGAACTCTGCACTCTGTACATAACGCACTCCTGAACTCTGCACTCTGTACATAACGCACTCCTGAACTCTGCACTCTGTACATAACGCACTCCTGAACGCTGCACCCTGTACATAACACACTCCTGAACCCTGTACTCTGTACATAACGCACTCCTGAACTCTGCACTCTGTACATAACGCACTCCTGAACCCTGTACTCTGTACATAACGCACCCCTGAACCCTGCACTCTGTACATAACGCACCCCTGCACTCTGTACATAACGCACTCCTGAACCCTGTACTCTGTACATAACGCACCCCTGAACCCTGCACTCTGTACGTAACGCACTCCTGAACGCTGCACCCTGTACATAACACACTCCTGAACCCTGTACTCTGTACATAACGCACTCCTGAACGCTGCACCCTGTACATAACACACTCCTGAACCCTGTACTCTGTACATAACGCACTCCTGAACTCTGCACTCTGTACATAACGCACTCCTGAACCCTGTACTCTGTACATAACGCACCCCTGAACCCTGTACTCTGTACATAACGCACCCCTGCACTCTGTACATAACGCACTCCTGAACCCTGTACTCTGTACATAACGCACCCCTGAACCCTGCACTCTGTACGTAACGCACCCCTGAACCCTGCACTCTGTACGTAACGCACCCCTGAACCCTGCACTCTGTACATAACGCACCCCTGAACCCTGCACTCTGTACATAACGCAACCCTGCACTCTGTACGTAACGCACCCCTGAATCCTACACTCTGTACGTAACGCACCCCTGAACTCTGCACTCTGTACATAACACACCCCTGAACCCTGCACTCTGTACATAACGCACCCCTGAACCCTGCACTCTGTACGTAACGCAACCCTGCACTCTGTACGTAACGCACCCCTGAACCCTGCACTCTGTACATAACTCACTCCTGAACCCTGCACTCTGTACATAACTCACTCCTGAACCCTGCACTCTGTACATAACGCACTCCTGAACCCTGCACTCTGTACATAACGCACTCCTGAACCCTGCACTCTGTACATAACAAATCAGCAGCAGTATATGGCAGTCTTGTGACTCCTATCAGCGTCTGCTTGAGCACTGGTTAATCTTGTAGGAGGAGTTTTCATTCTTCTCTGATGGTCCTCTGAGGCTGCATAACCCCTGACCCTCTGTCTGAACAGTGCTGATTGGCCCTGTGCTGATCACATTGACCCTCCAAAAAAAAAAAAAAACTCTGGCAATAGACACCAAACTGAGCATGTACAGAATTGCCACTGCTGCTCTGTGCTATCAGCAGATGGATTGGGGACAGTAGGGGGTTCAGTGACACTTCAAGTAATTCATATGATACCTAACGCCATCTAGTGGCCAAGTGCAGTATTTTCTGTTTGAGATCAGTGAAAAAAACATTCAACCAGCACAGATAATAACCTCCTGACATTCGTTTTTTTTGCCCTGTTTGCACAAATCAACTGTCCTTGTGTTGATGGAAGGTGTTCTGTGATGGAGAGACAGCCGGGGAGATCAGAATACATTGTTTGCATCTCTTTATCGTCTCTTCCATCACACACTTTCATTGCAGCAAACACTGACGGGCCCGGCGCCTCTGCGTATTATATTTCTGACTGTTGGCTGCTCCGCCATTGTGGGATTTGTCACCATTTTCTGTTGGATGTTTTCATCCACGGACAAAAAACCCGATGACATCACCTCCGCCTGGGCGGAGTCACCGGACTGGGGATGGTAAAAGTTGGAGCTTTATAATAATCACGTTTAATGTGGTGTTGTGACGGGAGTGACTTTGGGTGGGGGGCCCATGGAACACAGCCCCCCTTTGGAGAGGTGGGGAGACCCGTCTCAGCTCCCCATATCCCTATTATGTGTAAGTCACCCTGTGCCTGTTAGGGGTACAGGGTGATCTGTCCAAATATTGTGTAAATGTTCCATGGGTCCCCCACCCAAAGTCACTCCGGTCACAGGTGTGGTGGGAATGTGTGTGTTAGGTATGGTGATTATCCACGCAGGAAGCTGCTGCCTTGTGATTGGAAGGTGTCAGTGAACGATTTCATCATCTGTCCTCCATCTCCTCCTCAATCTGATTTCAGGCAGGTACTTTAGCGCCCCCTAGCAGCACAACTGCATGTTCCCCATGGTGGCCAAACTCTTTATGTCCACCATCCCTGTACAGGGTTCCTGGGTCTGTATACCCGCTGTGCCCGTTATGAGGGGTTCCCACCATCCCTGTACAGGGTTCCTGGGTCTGTACACCCGCTGTGCCCGTTATAAGGGGTTCCCACCATCCCTGTACAGGGTTCCTGGGTCTGTACACCCGCTGTGCCCATTATGAGGGGTTCCCACCATCCCTGTGTTGAATTCCTGTCCATTAATAATCACCCTCATCCAATCACCATCCAGCATCATTCCCTCCATTCTGCCCCCATCCAATCACCATCCAGCATCATTCCCTCCATTCTGCCCCCATCCAATCACTATCCAGCGTCATTCCCTCCTTTCTGCCCCCATCTAATCACCATCCAGCGTCATTCCCTCCATTCTGCCCCCATCCAATCACTATCCAGCGTCATTCCCTCCATTCTGCCCCCATCCAATCACTATCCAGCGTCATTCCCTCCTTTCTGCCCCCATCCAATCACCATCCAGCGTCATTCCCTCCATTCTGCCCCCATCCAATCACTATCCAGCGTCATTCCCTCCATTCTGCCCCCATCCAATCACTATCCAGCGTCATTCCCTCCATTCTGCCCCCATCCAATCACTATCCAGCGTCATTTTCTCCATTCTGCCCCCATCCAATCACTATCCAGCGTCATTCCCTCCATTCTGCCCCCATACATGACATTGTTTCCACTACAGAACATAGAAGATCTCTGGAGTATGAAAATGATGCAGCATGAAAGATCTCTCAACGTTTTTGCGTGTTTTTACCTTTTATTAGCGGTGGGGGGGCTTATTAACGGGGGAGGGGGGGTTTATTAGCGGGGGGGCTTATTAGCAGGGGAGGGGGGTTTATTAGTGGTGGAGGGGGGTTTATTACCAGATTACCAGGGGAGGGGGGGTTTATTAGCGGGGGAGGGGGGTTTATTAGCAGGGGAGGGGGGGTTTATTAGCGGGGGAGGGGGTTTATTAGCAGGGGAGGGGGGGTTTATTAGCGGGGGGGCTTATTAGCAGGGGAGGGGGGGTTTATTAGTGGGGGGGCTTATTAGCAGGGGAGGGGGGTTTATTAGTGGTGGAGGGGGGTTTATTACCAGATTACCAGGGGAGGGTGTTTATTAGCGGGGGAGCTTATTAGCAGGGGAGGGGGGGTTTATTAGCAGGGGAGGGGGGTTTATTAGCAGGGGGGGAGGGGGGTTATTAGAAGAGGAGGGGGGTTTATTAGCGGGGGAGGGGGGTTTATTAGCAGGGGAGGGGGGGTTATTAGCGGGGGAGGGGGGGTTACGTTCCCAAAGCGATGATGATAAGTGCGGCGTGGTGCGGCCCCTTTAAGCGTCCCGGATGTGAATCTTCCAGCGTTCACCACATTTGCTTTATGGCCACAATTAAGTGAGATGCAGCGATAACCGTGTCTGCTTTCCGTTGTAAATCGCGCGTTTCAGACGCGGCAAATTCTTTTATTATCAAATCCACATGCTTTTAATTGCAATTATGGTCCCTTATGAGCCCCCCGGGACGCCATGATTGCAATTAAAAATGTAATTTAAATGTTAATTAATTACATTCATTTTCCAAACTGGGAAAAATTCATTTATTATTTTCCTGCGCCACCGCCGCCGCCACCGCCGCGCACTTCCCCTCCATACATTACCTAGTAAATGTTTTCCTTCCTCCGACCTCCCCCCCCCAATGAGAAGGGAGCTGTATATCCCCCGAACGTTTTCACCGGGACAATCGCTTTTCTTGTGTTTTTTTTGGGATATAAATGACTGCGCCGGAATTAATTGGTTTGAGCCGAGTGTATCGTGCGGAACGCAGAAGGAAGCAAATTAGCGCATTGTACGCCGCGGTTTGCAACGCATAATCAGGTGGAGTGTTCTGTGCTGGAGAGCGCACCTGTGGCCCTGACGTGGCTGCCGATTGGTTGGTTGAGTCTGGAACCGGCCTATCGACTGATGAGGAGCCGGCGCTACCACCCAGGGGTCGCCCGAATCAATTGGAATTTGTGACCGGTTTTATTTATTATTATGTGTGATCAGCTTTATTAATACAAATCTAATCTGATCAATAACAAAATACCGATGATGTCATCCTGCACACAAATCATCAAAAAAAAAAAATAAGGGAAAAAAAAAAAATAAATATATATATATACGACCGTTTGGGATCACCTGACCTATAGCTGATAGTATATGGAACTACAAAACCCACTAAAACTACAAAAATAAAATATATTTATATTTATTATTAATATTATTATACAGGATTATATTAATAATATATATATAAAAAAAAATAAGGGGAAAAAAATAATATATATTAAAAAAAAATAAGGGGAAAAAAATATATATATATATATATATATATATACAACCATTTGGGATCACCTGACCTATAGCTGAAAGTATATGGAACTATGGAACCACAAAACCCCCTAAAACTACAAAAATTAAAAAAAAATAAAATAAATATATATATATACAACCGTTTGGGATCGATCACCTGACCTATAGCTGATATTATATGGAACTACAAAACCCACTAAAACTACAAAAATAAAAAATATATATTATTATTATTATTATACAGGATTATAATAATAATAATATATATATATATATATATATATATATATATATATATATATATATATAAAAATATATATATATATATATATACAACCGTTAGGGATCACCTGACCTATAGCTGAAAGTATATGGAACCACAAAACCCCCTAAAACTACAAAAAAAAAAAACAAAAATATATATATATATTATTATTATTATTATTATTATTATTAAACAGGATTATAATAATAATATATATATAAAAAAAAAAATAAGGGAAAAAAATTATATATATATACAGCCATTTGGAATCATCTGACCTATAGCTGAAAGTATATGGAACTACAAAACCCACTAAAACTACAAAAATAAATAAAAAAAAAAATATATATATATTATCATACAGGATTATAATTATATATATATATATATATATATATATATATATATATATATATATATATAAATTAGAGCACAAGAAAAAAAAAAAATATATATATATCCAACCATTGGTGATCACCTGACCTATATGGCTAAAAGTATATGGAACTACAACCCCCCTCCCCCAGATTGAGTGGAACACATTTTTACCTGCCAAAAAAAAAAAAAATTGGTGTTTCTGTCCATCCAGTCCTGAGATTTACACAGCTCTGCCACACAGCACAGCCCTGTCTGGGACCTGTTCTTTCTCAGCTATTGTTAGCTGTGGGCTGCTTCACACTAGTGGTGCCATCTGAAGAGCAATCGGTGTTCGGATTGCTCATCAGAGAACATTGCATTGCCTCCACACCGCCTGCTTTAACCCCTGCTACCTCATGCACTGCACCCAGTTGCAGGGAACCCCCTTTTATTGGAATGGGTTGCGGTCAGCGGGTGGGGATAATTGCCTCTGCAACATAAGGGGGCG